AGTAACAATGTGTGAAAAATAGTGATGTTTTCACAGTGGCAGTATTCATACTGCAATGGTCTAATGGAGCATAGTGCATGTTGAGTTGACTAGCACGTCTCTCAAGTGCTTCTATTTAGATTTAAACCATCTTGAGATATGAATACTAAACCTTAAAAGGACAACACAACTCACTACTATTATTTTGATCTAAAAGGAAAAAGAACAAAGGGGGAAAAAGAACAAAGTTGAAAGCATGGCCCTTTAAGAGACAAATATAGGTCCCAATTCGGACTACTAACAAAAAGGAAATGAGAATGGAAAATAAAAAGCTTTAAGAAGAAGAGAGGATGATACGATATCCACTATTTTTCCACATTGAATTGGTGAACCTGGGATCAAGGGACAGTGACCAATTTAGTGGCATCGGGATTCAGATTTTCCACTTCCGAAATGTACATGGAATAAAGTGCTACTCATATTTGTATGCTCACCATAGTACTGTATCTAAAGACATAACTTTCACTTCATTAATGTAACTATCTTCGTTAATAGAAAACGCTAATAATAATAATAATAATACTAATATTTTTTACTTCACTTTAAAATTTCAAATTAATTTGTTGACTGTAAAGTAATGAGTACAACACGATACGAGCTGTTTATATTAGAAATCATACAAATGCGTATTATGTCCATATTAAAAAGACAAATTAATACAGAATTAATCAATTTCTCAGCTCACGAATACGAAATACAACACATTAACAATAATACTAATAAAGAGTTTTACCCCGGTTTAAAAAGTCAACAAACAACTTACAGGACGCGCAAAGTAACCGGCTGCTACTATGACTATCAGTGGAGACATGCCTAAGGTGGGGAAATAATCAAATAAGTACTAAGAAAAATTACTTTTGAAAACCTGCAATGGAGGAGGCCCTAACTGCCGTGATCGTACTAAAACCGGCGCCAGCCGGTTATCACGGACGCTGGTCTGTTTAACTTATTCATAACGTGTTCCATTGTTTTGTGCGTTAGCAATAAAATACTGCGTACAATTACTAATGTGATACGTATTGTGCCGATGATTATTTTGCTGATATGATTTATTTACTGCTAATTGAGGTTTCCATCCTGATTTTGTTTTAAGACCTCAGGTCGAATGTTTTAAATCCCTTGAGAAAAAATCAGATTGTCCTTAAAATGTCGAGTAGTTTGAGACAGTGATGGAACTAGGGGGATTCAGGATGGTCGATCGACCCTGGCTGGCCAAATTTGGCCGAATTTTCCTTTAATAGGGTGTTTGTTAACTGATATTTTTTATTTTTATTTTTCAATTTGACCCTTTGATAACAGTTGCATAATCTTATTTTCAATCTCGCAATTTGAATTTTCTCGTTCGTCATTGGTTTGAGAACTACGGTCGAAGCCGTTCAATTAATTACGTTCTTCAATTCTCATGACTCTTTCATCTAATACTGGTTAAAACTTTAAAGGAACTTGCATGCTCTATGTAAATAGAATTTATCACTCTGTATCATCAGTCACATTCTACAGTGTTAACTGAAAATAAAATAAAACCTAGGGTATCTAGATGGAGGCGAAAAGTACAAATGGAAAAACACATATGCTAGTGTCAAAATACCCGGAAAAGCTCTAATGTGAAAGAGAAATGTTTTGCAATTTTTTTTAAATTATTATTTTTTTCTTACTTTGATATATATCTACTATACTAATGTAGTGAAGGCCGTTGATTGCGGTTGGGAATAAAGCAATCCTCATAACTGACCTACCTTTTGACTGCAAGGTACTTATATCTGCTTTCCCACTTTTATTTGGTCAACTTTCGCTTTTTTACGTACAATACAGTATGAAGCATAAACTGGTAAAGTATGTCGTTCGTAGTAGTGTTGGTGCTTTTTGCTTACCTTCTGCCTGGTTTACTATATTGACCTCTTCTTCCCCACCCAATTTCCCGATCAACCCACCAGCAACTATGTATGTCTACTTGTGGATTGATACACCATACAGAAGAAGGCATTCCAAATTAAGAGCCATATGAATGAGCATCAATTAGACAGCCAAATTGAGGCATTTACTTGTGAAGTGCATTACGAAAACACAATAATCCAATAAATTGAAGCACCACATATTATTCCATTATAATTTTTCAATTAAGTCTATATCCTTGTTTTAAAATTGTTAACTAAGTACAATGCAATAACATGCAAACTCTAGGTCCATGATTAATTGCAAAATCTTGTTTTCCAGCTTTAACTTTAGTTACATTTTTGTTTTTACAGATTGCATTTGTAAATTAATGGTCTGTAACGATTTTACTCTTTTTTTGAATTAATTAGTTTTTTTTTTTTTTTTTTATCTTGTTGTAATGAATTGAGGCAAACTCATTGTCAAAATTTCTATGTATAGGTTTCTGGTGACTTATATTTTACCATGAATTTTAAATACGAGTGTGTGTAAGTATAAACACTACTTTTTGTCAAGGTTTCCTAGAGACTCTTCCAAATATTTGACCGTGGGATTGGAGTATGGATCAAGCGTCAACGGGTGAAATTACTTTATTCCGTCGTCCGTACCATTACCACTAGATGTTTGTGTTTGCCTTTTGATCAACTGACATTCATTTCGATAAATATAGTCCCGTTGAACTAGGGATGCGGCATTGTGGAGGGTAGAAAAGATATTCCCTCCGTCTTAAAAAAAAAAAAATAAATAATTCACATTTAATTTTTATATTTATATTAGTTTTAGTGTAAATTTTAAAATTCAATTTTGAATATTTTTTTCTGAAATAGAGGGGTACTATCTTTTGAAATACTATTCTCGAGCGCTATATATAAATATGACCTTATTTTAAGACAAAATGAATACTCAACATAGTTTAAGATATCATCCGTAAAGCATAATGCTATTTTTCCATCATTTTTTCGTTTTAATAACTAATAACATTACCCTTGAGGTGAATTTTCAACTGCTCTATCTTAATTCATCATCCATAAAAACAAATTAATACTAACATAAACATATATCGTGTTATACTTCGCCGCAAAGGGGCATTCGAATTGATAGGTAAAAGACATGTGCTGCAATTTCCTTATATGTTTTGAATTTTCATGGAACCTAACAAGGGAGCACGTACGAACGTACGACACAGATCATACCAAATGTATCAGAGGACATCAGGCACATGAACTAGATAGTACCAGCGATCGCGTAACGTGTTAATTTGAGTTGTTTCGACTATGTTTATTTTTATAATAACAAATGTAAGTTTTTAAGGTTTGTTAAAATAAATCCCCAATTAGATTGTACGTCTCACTTGCAAGCTACATAAAACACAATATAGATACAGTATATACTATTCAGAGAAATAAAGATACCGAGATCTCGATTACTAAGTTGTTTAACCAGTAGTAGCGTAATTTATTTCTTGATCAAATCTTCTTATTCTTATGTAAATGTACTGACAAATCGATCATAAACAAAAAAAAAAAAAAAACCCTTAACATCCATCTCGGTTCACGCACAATGTGTCCAATGGTATTAATGCCTGTAGTTTGGTTGTCCATGTTATCATCATCTGCGCATCTATCTTGCAGACGTTTATTCTTGATGTAATTTGATTTGATTAGAAACCCTAATAACTCCAAAAATGCAACTCAAGATTATGATGATCATCGACTTATCCAACTTTCACTTTTACACATTTCCAATTGATTTAATAAGTTCAATTGGATTGTGTTTAAAATTAAAATGGATGAAAGTTACACACTCCATAGTCCATTCGTCCACGTTCTCCGCTTCGCCATTCATCATGTGAACAGATAGTATAAGGAAAATTATGCTAACAGAATGGTTAAAAGTATTATATTTTTCAACCCTTTTCTTAATGGTTTTAACCAATGGCATCTCCTCAAATGATTACAATTTACAGTAATTTATTTACTTAGCTTTGTCTATTATGGTCATTGGGTTAGCCCAAGTGAAACAAACATTTTAATAATTCTATGTGTTTTGGACAGTTTGTGTGAATCACTTGGCATTCACTGAGCAGAATGGCCGATTTTCTGATTTAAGTAAAAATGGGGACACTCAGAAAACACAGTCTGAAACGTTTTTGACTCTTTCTTTTTCTTCTGATACCGAATTTTCGTCGGTTCGTCCTTTTCTTCCTCTTTCTTTTATTTTTCTGTTTCTTTTTTTCCGGTAAATTTCTATCAAATCTCACTAACTCGTACTTCCTCGGTCATTAAATTCTAACAAGGATAAAAAATTTAAGAAAAAGGATGATATATTTAATGAACTCCATGAAATGACTCATGTGAAATTTACATTACAAAAATTTAATCCTTTGTCATATTTGAATGAATAAATGAGACATAAATAACTCCCATGTACCCTTTTTATTGTTTTATTATACTAGTTTGTAGTGATTTCGATTAAAAGATAAAAAATTTTCTCTCATCATTTTATAATGAAAGAAACAAAAACTTAAATATTAATTCATTATATTACGTGGTGTGGGTGAAAAATAACCATGATATCATATTTTCAATAAAGAATTTATTTCTTCCTATCAGCCGTCAGCGGATAATCAAATTGATACAATCCACTCTAATCTAAAGATGCAAAAGAAGCCAAATGCATATATTGCAATTTGGATATTGCCAACCATTTCCTTAAGTAGTTAAAATAATCCCAAACTAAGGTCCGGTTTTGGTATTATTACATGTTGAGTCTATTTATATTGACTGTATAGTGTATACAATTCATTAGTGAATAATACTACTAGAATTTGTGTGAAAATTATAATTCGAAATGTTATTAGGAGGGAAAATGTAGGTAGGTGAAATACTACTACTAACATCATTGATAAAATTATTATCCAAAAAAGAAATTCAACTAGACAACCTACTAAAACTCTCAAGTCTAACCTCCCTGAATTTATGCAGTGATTTCTCCACCAAATTGCCTTATAGCCCCTTTTTTGGCCATCATCATAATAAGACTTCAGCCGACGACCCTTCCTCGTAAAAGCGCCGAAACAAAAGCACATGCTAATGCCCCTTTCTCTCTCCCAACAATTTCATCAATCAATCTCCATTTTCCCCTTTCTTCAAAAGAACACTCATACCATTATTCACCCTTTAATATTAATCTAATTCAGCCTCCCTAAAAAAAGGAAAAAAATTAACAAAAATTTGTAGAAAAACTACCACCGTTGTCCACATTTATTATTGATCCTTATTCTTTCTGAAATAGTTTGTCACTTTCCTTCCTCACACTCCCATATATACTACCTCTTCCCCTGCCCCTTGAGTAAACACTACTCCTTCTTTCTACATTTCCTTTCTCCTCCCCATTTCTCCATTCTTCTCTTCTTACAGAGGGATAGTGTTTTAAGAATTGAAGTTTTTTTTGCTCAAAAGACAACGCCTCAAATTGGCATTTTTCCCTGCTCTGTTTTTTTTTGAAGAAGAACAGATCTGTATAACATAGAAGGCAATTGCATAGTTTTGCATTTACTATTCTTCTACCCTTTTGCATTTTACAAAAAGGGTTCCGGTTTGTTTTTGGATTAGAATTAGTCATGGAGAAGTTCGGGAAACTATTAACCACAATGGCTACTCTGTTTTTACTACTGGGAGTCCTTCCTTCAATTGCATTTGCTGGCCATGATTATCGTGATGCTCTGGCTAAGAGCTTTCTTTTTTACGAAGCTCAGAGATCTGGGTACCTCCCCAGAAACCAAAGGGTCCAATGGAGGGGTAATTCTGGTCTCATGGACGGCAAAGCCAGTGGGGTAACTTCCACAAACATAAATGCTCTGTTCCTACAGTACAATTTTTTTAGTGTGTGTGTGTGTGTGTGTTATATGCATTTTAATGTCAATTTTCTAACAGTAATGGTGTTCAATTCTGGGGCAGGTGGATCTAATAGGAGGGTACTATGATGCTGGAGACAATGTGAAATTTGGATTGCCGATGGCATATACGGTGACCATGATGTGTTGGAGCGTTATTGAATATGGACACCAAATGTCTGTGAGTGGTGAACTTAGTCATGCCCTTGATGCTATCAAATGGGGTACTGATTACTTCATTAAAGCTCATCCCCAACCCGATGTTCTCTATGGAGAGGTACCCAAACCCAAAACACTTCCTTCATCCTAAATATAATTCAATAAATTCAGTCCAAATGTCGTTTCTGAGTTGAGTCCTAATTTTTTTGTTCGTTCAACTGGGTTTGACTTGTGCTTAATTTATGTTTACCAAACTTTTCAAGTAGTTGGACTAATGTTCTGACTTGCAATTGGAAAATTCGAGGTGTTTTGAGTATTTCATTTTTATTTTGAATGTTAAAAAAAGGGCTTAATGTGGGACGAGGAAGTTGTTCTGAATTAAGAGTGAAAATGAGATGTATGATTAAGATGGGTTTTCCAAAACATTGCCATTTCAGTCATTTTCCGAGCATACCATAATTTTCAATTCTGAAGGTTAATTTGTTGTTTGTTGTTGATTATAAAGTGGTGAAATAATGTTATTGGTGGGACTTTCAGATACATAATGATGATAAATGTATGGTTTTGATAGGTTGGAGATGGTAACACAGACCACTACTGTTGGCAAAGGCCGGAAGATATGACCACATCACGTGCCGCTTACAGAATTGACTCAAGTAATCCCGGATCTGACCTCGCCGGTGAAACCGCCGCCGCAATGGCGGCCGCCTCCATCGTCTTCCGCCGCTACAACCCTGGCTACTCTAGAACTCTCCTCAACCATGCCTACCAGGTATAAAACAAAAACCATTCAATCCCTCTAAATTGTTTCATCAACCCATTACAAATGTAACATTTATTGAACATCATGCAACATTACTACAATGCTAACATAATTACTGAGATAGTGATCAATAAAAGGCGCATGATAGCCCAAACGGTTGAATTGGCGCAAGATAGTGAAAACGGTTGAAGTAAATAGGTAGTTACGAAAGTTCAGCTTTCTGTCAGCCTGGTTGTTGTCGGTGTGTGGGCACCGCATTCATGAAGCCCATTCCCTTAGAGATAGATGGGATTAATTACACTACTTTCATTTATACCCACTATTACACTAACATATTCTTTACTTACTAAAAGGGATTTTAGTATCTTTCACTACTTTAATTAAAATTCTTGGACCATTTTTGATGTTCTGACAAAAAGTGCTTTGTGGTTTTGTACTTTGGAATAGTAGTGACTTGTTTGAGCAACCAAAATTGTTTTTCCTTCCCACTGTTTTTGACCCAATAGTTTGGTAAAACTTTCTTGAAATGTCAAAAAAGGTTATTGTCAATGCGGTAAAAATAGCAAGCTTACTTCACTAGTTTTACTAGGCCGAGCCGTTTGGTAAAAGTTTGTCTACATTCTACATAGAATTCAAATGGTCATTTTTATATCGTGATGGTTGTTCACTAACTTCTAAACATGCTGAGCTTATGTGGAAGAAGATTAAATGTTTCGGTGTAGTTAAAATCATTACAGTAAAATATTTCACTATTTTTTATAAATTTTCTTTTTTAAAACCATTTTATTGGTCTTTTTCCAAAGGTGGTCCTCATAGCACGTGTATGGATGGTCTAGTAATAGTGTTGCTAAAGCACGCCCCCATGATCAAAGTAAAAATTGGCTTAATTAGAAGCGTGGTAGTGGTACTACTTTTGGGGAAAGGGCGTGTTTGAACCATGCAACCTTAACTAATTATAGCTTTGAAACCCTTTATTGATTCTCTAACCTATTTGTGCTTTGGTTTCTCATTTTCCTTTTTATCTCTTTGGAGGAAAAACCAAAAAGTGAACATTCTTGCTTGAACCTTGTGCTCCATCACTTGTTGATGATAAACCCCAAAAGGGTTAAAGAATCAACGGCCTACAATTCAATGTAGTGAGAAAGAGCATCCAATGTCATTATCCAATAACATCAATATATAGAGGATAAAAAGAATACCAATTAAATAAGTTAGATTATGTTCTTTTTACAACCCTCTTGGGTTAATTTGCTCTAATATCAACAACCTTTGGGTGATAGTGCACATTCTGTTTTCATTTGCAAACAATTGATAAAATTCAAAAGTAACACAAATGGCACCAATTTTTTTATTTGCTGTTTTTTTCAAATTTGAATGATGATGAAATTTCACGGCGCGTAATATGGATCATGGAGTGGGCTGGGCCCAACTTGGCCCTCTAATCACGGGGCAGTGCTTTTGCCCTTTCCATACTGTACGGACTTTCCAATATTGGGAAGTACTTCGCCAATCTCAACCGTCGAAAGACACATAAACGTGTCGCGATTGTCGGTGGTTTAACATGGGACCACCACCGAAAAATTGCACTTTCCTTTTGTGTGTTTCCATGTTTACCCTTCTCTTTCCGCATTAATTACTCACACTCCTTTCCTTTGCTTCTGTCCTCAGCTATTCGAGTTTGCGGACAAATACAGGGGTAAATACGACAGCAGCATAACGGTTGCCCAGAAGTACTACCGATCAGTCAGTGGGTACGCGGTATGTGATTTCCACCCTTTTTTAACTAACTTATTAAGTAGTAGTACCTTTTTTTTAACTATTCTTTTTTTAACCTTTGAGTTATTAACTTCACAGTAAAAATTTGGTTTTGACAGGATGAGTTACTGTGGGCAGCTGCCTGGTTATACAAGGCATCAAACAACCAGTTCTACTTGAATTATTTGGGTAACAATGGTGATGCACTTGGTGGAACTGGTTGGGCCATGACTGAATTTGGTTGGGATGTTAAGTATGCTGGTGTCCAAACTCTTGTTGCCAAGGTTTATTTTCTTATCCTTAACCTAAGAAAACCCAAATTTGACAACATTTGTTGGAAAAAAATAAATCATTCCTAACACCTGATTATGATTGATGATTAGTCTGAGTAATTTAGAAAAATTAATTGAAGAGATCAATTGCATGTACAGAACACTTAAAATTGGCTGGACTAATTGGTCCTCTTATAAATTTTCTTGCAGTTCTTGATGCAAGGCAAAGGTGGTCAGCATACAGGAGTATTCCAGCAATACCAGCAAAAAGCAGATTACTTCATGTGTTCATGCATGGGAAAAGGCAATCAGAATGTGCAGAGGACTCCAGGAGGCCTTATCTTCCGCCAGAGTTGGAACAATTTGCAATTTGTCACAAGTGCATCTTTCCTCATGACTGTCTACTCTGACTATCTGTCTTCTGCCCACAAGTCTCTCAAATGTGCTTCTGGCTATGTCTCCCCAGCTGAGCTTCTCTCATTTGCTAAATCCCAGGTATGATAAAATTGAAGTTTGTAAGAGTTTCATTCTATACCTTGATCAATTGTTGCCCTTATTTTATTGAATGTGTATAGTTTACAGGACCCTGAATTCCTTGTCCTTTCTAATGTTACAGGTGGACTACATTCTTGGTGATAACCCCAGAGCAACCAGCTATATGGTCGGATATGGAAACAACTTCCCTAGACAAGTTCACCACAGGGGTTCTTCCATTGTTTCCATCAAGAAAGATCCCACATTTGTGAGTTGCAGAGGTGGTTATGCCACTTGGTTTAGCCGTAGGGCGAGTGATCCCAATGTCCTCACCGGTGCCATTGTTGGAGGTCCTGGTCCATATGACAACTTTGCTGATCAAAGAGACAACTATGAGCAAACTGAGCCAGCTACTTATAACAATGCTCCTCTCATTGGTGTGTTGGCCAGGCTGCATGCTGGCAATGCTGGCCGTAACCAGCTACTTCCAGGTAATGTTGATGAGTTTTCAAAGTTCTCCAAGTTTGTTTCCATCGTTCATTTCTCAAGTTGTCTCTTTAAAATGAGGTAGTAAGAAAAAACCAAAAGTTGAAGCATGATTTCGTGGAGTGTCAATTGGTTCAGCATTGGTTATATTGCAAAATATGTAAACGCAAGCAGTTAATGTTTTATCAGTTGGTTTGGTTTTCATTTGTTCTAATTATTGGTTACTTATAATTTTCTACAGTTAAACTACCAAAGCTTGCTCCTGTGCCTAAAGTTACCCCAGTTCCAGGTATTGTATCAAACTTCAGTAATTGAACTTCAATCATACATTTTGTTTGCTGCCATCGGCTGGACTAATTCTCCTGTGAATTGTTAGGGTAATCTGATTTCGGGGTAACGTTTTTGCAGGTTCTAACCCGATTGTTGTCGAACAGAAGGTGACAGACACATGGATTAACCATGGAAAGACTTACTACAGATACTCCACAATAGTGACTAACAAATCAGACAAGACAGTGAAGAATTTGAAGCTATCAATTGCTCAGCTCTATGGCCCTCTATGGGGACTGAAAAAGTTGGGTGATTCCTACACTTTACCATCATGGACTGACTCTTTGCCTGCTTGGAAGAGCATAGAATTTGTTTACATCCATGCTGCTTCTCCTGCGAATGTCTGGGTATCAGGATATACACTGGCCTGAAAATCCAAGGCAAAATTGCATACTAATGGTGAAAAATGACCTAAAGATTATTATGCACATATAAGAAAAAGACTGCCGCCAAAAAGGCCTATTTGCAGTTAGGGTAATATGGTTGTTATCATTAGGCATGTTGGAAAGAAAGGAGTGACGAGACGAATTTATAATGAGTGCTCATCCTCTTTCTTTTCTCCATGCAAAGAGTCGTGATCACATGGCATTTGGGAGTGAGAGAGATAGTGAAAGAGTGATTGTTAATTTGAGAGGTAAAGAAGGTTTTACTTCTCAATAGGGAGTTTCTAAGGTTTTACATTTTATATAGAGTATATCTTTAAGGGCTTTTACATTTTTACCATTTTCATCTCTTTTTTGGGGTTATGATATGTTGTAAGCTCTTCACAACACTTCTGGAATTCAAGTATGAATATACCTTGTGCAAATTCATGATTATATAGGCTTGTTCTTGTGGTCAAATTATCTTTGTTTCTAGTTCAGAGTTCTGCTGTCCTTTTTCATCATCCCTTACAACATACGCAATCTTACAAAGCAGATGATCAATTTGTGATGTCTTTACCCTTCCAAAATGATCGTCCCATATACCACAAATCAGAAAAATAAACTAATCCATCATCTCAGATGGATGATTGGTTGCTGATTTTTGCCATGTTTCAATCTATATCACCGACTAGTGACTAGTATGGTAATCCTCAGTGCAGTTGTCACTTTTTGCCTTGGCCTCATGATGTACAACGAACAGTTAACTATACATTGCAACTCTTAAGTCTTAAATCACAAAACTCTGGAAATAGAAACTGAAGTCAAATAAAATTGGATTTCCTGAAATTCGGAAGTGAAACATCAACAACCAGAAATTTTGCTGCCTGCCTCCTTGAGATCAACCACAATAACACTTATGTTGTCTCTGCTTCCTTTTGCCATGGCCAACTCTGCTAATATGACTGCTGCAGCTTCTGCAGGAATATCAGATTCCCTTATGAAATTTCTGTATTTTTGACCATTGAAGCATCGTCTTACCACTTCGCAGGCGGTATCATTTGACAGCACATCCCAAAGGCCATCTGTTGCTACAATGAGAAACTCATCTACTTCGGTCCTTTTGTTCACAGTGACCTCTGGCTTTGAGATCACGTATGGTTTCAAATAGTGATCCCCTATTGAAAGAATAGGGAAATAAATAAATAATAATCATAGTAACTAGTTCAAGAACTTCAATAATACTTGCACACATTGAAGCTAGGTTCGAAAAACTTGAGCAAAAAAACAAGAGCACACCTATTGATCTTGAAGTAGCAAGAACTCCTTGTACGCGACAACCATCCCAGTCGATTATTTTTCCTCCAGCAGCTTCCACTCTATCCTTCTCATCAGGTCTATCAGGCTATTTTAAACAAACAAAAAAGAGAAAGAAAATACAAATCAGTATCAGTATCATTACCAGCAGGCTGTAGAATTCAAAACGGAAACAAACCGAACATTACAATATAGCTGGCATGTTTTGACCATTACCATTCGACATCTAAGATAGTGTTTACATTTTACAGACAAATTTAATTCACATGGAGGCATAAAAAAAAAAAAATTCAACATTTTAACAAACTATGAGTGTATTGCTGCATCATTTGAGTTCGTCGACAACTATATACACTATTGGAGTGGCCTTTGGGCATAGGAGGAGTGTAAGCTGAAGTATTTTTGAGTAATCCTAATTAAACTGCTAACTATTTTTGACATAAAGTACATCTAGACCCAAAAAAAAAAAAAAAACACACACACACACACACACACAATCAAGGCGAGACGTGTGTTCTAGTTTCTAGAGAACATTTGATACTCTGATTTGATCAATCTTTTATGTCTGTACTATATTTAGTATGTTACCTACAAATTTATATTCAGGTCATAAACTACTATCCCTTTTCCAAAGCAAAGTAAGAAAAATTAAAGCCTACATCCAATCATCCAATATCAATTGTGTTATGTTGCAAAATGATTTAAATTTACCACTGGCGGTAACTGCTCTGTATATAAATGATGTTGCAACCAACTCCAATGTTTGTGTGTGATGTAGCAACCGATGGGACATACTTGACAAAAAAAACAATACCGGTGAACATAGAGTATGTGACAAAAACTGAATCCCGGTGAATGTTGCCCCTGCCACGTCACTCCTCCTAGAAATTTACTTGCATTTTTATTGTGTCATCTCTCTGTTTCTGACAAACTATTCCCAGGGGTTCCAACATTTTTCCCATTAGTTATTATTTCTTATTAACAAAAGTTTTCCCAAATTTTCTCTCCACTTTTTTACAAAAATCACTAAATTATACTATGCGTTTGAGATTAACCTTTAATAACATCAACACCTGATACATAATAAGGAAAATAAAAAGAAAGGAATAAGGGATACATGAGGCAGTAGGTGGAAAATGCTTATTGACTCCTAAAAAAAGAGAGACCAAAAAAAAATATACTTTCTTAGTTCTAAAATTATTGTACAGTTTTGATTTTCATTTGCAGTACAAATGGAGGGAGGAAGTATCTAAGTACAAAATGTATTATAAATAACGAAATTTAAAGCATATAAATTATTTATAGACAGAATAAATTACTTGTGTCATTTACACTTTTGTTTAATTATTATCCTTTGTGTGACGTGGATGGACGGACGACTAGTTGACTACCAAATACCAAACATCAAAGTGTTTCAGGTGAAAAAGCCCCATGCATGCAAAATTGCAAAGAAAATGAGGAGGAAAAAACAAAGCCAAACTCAAAACAGCACAGAAGAAAGACTCACACGTAACTATTTTCCTTGGCGACACCTCAGAAACACACCCTTTTATCACACTCTTTATCACTTCCTTTTTCTTTTTTAAAGTTTCAGTTAGTATTACTTTGGTTCGTACTAACCTTATGATCATTGGATAGTGGCAATGCCACTCCACCACGGCTAAGTACCGCCCTGGAGTCCCCACAATTCGCCACCACCAACTCCTCCGTCCCGACCACCGCCACCACCGCCGTCGATCCCACCTCCCTTTCCCCCACTTTTCCAACCTCATTCGCTTGAACTTGCACTTCTTCATCCATCTTCGAGAAGGTTGCTTCCATGATGCTCGTCCAATACTGTATCCTATTCATTTTACTTTCGGTTTCGCCGCTGCCGGAGGGGATTCCCGCGGCGGCATCGGCGCTGGTGCTAGTGGTGGGCTCCTCCGCTTCCATTAACTCCTCCTCGAGCAGGTGGTGCAATCGGTCCCGGCACGAATGCGCCACCATGGCTCCGCCGTGGCCGTCGTACACCGCAAAGAATTCATACCGGCCGGCGAGAATTCCGGGCGAAGCCGTCAATGCATCCTCCATCACTCTACTCCGACCCATTACGGAAATAGACCCGAAACACAAACGGGTCACTTGCCGGGACCCTCCGGCACCCGAGTCCTTCTCCTCCCTGATCGTATCACCCTCTCCCTTTTCCACCTCACGAGGAAGCTCGCGTGATTTCTCGGAAACTTCCAGCGACGACGAAGAACCGCAACCCGCATTGAAATCCCCGGCTTTCAACCTCTTCTCCGGTCTAAAATCCGCCGGACCCTCTTCGGGAACCAAGATTTCCTTACAATCTAAAGTTCCATCTTCACCGCCGGGCTTTTTCTGACGAGCATTCCGCTTGCCACCGCCGCGGCGCTTGATATGCATCGAGGAATGGAGCTTCATTAATCACGTCTCAAACGATTACATAAAAATCAGCCCATCATAACCAATAAAAGCCTACTTCCTTTAATATATCTGGACATGAGAAAGAAAAAACAAAAAGGGAAAACGACGTTGGTTTGTTTTCAGAATATATTTTGTTCACGAGAAGAGAGAGTTTGTTTTCCACTGAGAATGAATTTGGACGCAAAGTATCAAGTACACACCAGATATGAAGCTTAATAGTTATAAGTGATTAGAGAAGTGAAAGTGGAGGATTTATAGAGAAGGCGGGTTTCTTGGTAGGTACTAGGAAAAGGGAAGAGACAACAACTAGTATACTTGCTAAGGAGTACGAGGAAAAGAAGCCACGTAATGAAGAGGTGAGAAATTAGAAAGAGTGGGAAAGACGTGGACGGCCCAGAGTTTAACTCCCGTAACACGTAGCCCCACCCCCGACCCCACCTCCCCGATTTTTTGCAGGCAGTCGTCTTCTCTAAAACATTCGTCTTCTCATATTACGTTACACTACGATACCATGTATATTTTCTTCTTTCCTTACATATATATCATCGCCGAAAAATCTATTTATTACTTCCACCACCCCCCAAGAATATCAATTTTTTTTCTTTCCATTTCAAGGTATTTTATATCTATGCTTTATTGTTTATATATCTATGTGGCCCGACATTTTGTATTCGTCTTTTATATATACTTTTATTATTCTTGATGTTTTCACATCAGTTTTGCGGATTTAGAGTCTTAAATTTGCAAAGAACATTTCATCGTTGGAATGAATCTTGACCATTTTCCTAATATGGTTTCTCCATTTATGTATTAATCACAAAATCCGATACGTGCTTGTTGCTAAAAAAATATAGTAACATGAAATTATGTGATCATATAGCAACAAGCACGTATCGGATTTTGTGATTAATACATAAATGGAGAAACCATATTAGGAAAATGGTCAAGATTCATTCCAACGATGAAATGTTCTTTGCAAATTTAAGACTCTAAATCCGAGTAATAAAAAAATATAGTAAAAAATATTGTGAAAACTTATAATGTGTCCAATAATTAAGAACAAATGCATAATTTTAATTATAAGTGTTAACAAAATCGGGAGTCCACATCAATTGCTATTTCTTTTCATTATATATTTTTCATTTTGCATACTATTTTTTTTTTCAACACTTTGAAAGGGAGACTAAAACTTGAATATAATCATATTATGATATATAAAAATATTTACTTTTTGTTAACCAAAATAAAATAATTTCTATCACGTTTGTCGACGTAAAGCACAGTAAATACGTCAAGAAAAAGAAAAAAAAAAAAAACAATGTAACTAAAGAGGATGTGAGATCACATGTTTAACCATGGAGACTTATCTCAGTGGCCACTAACATGTCATTCTAGGCCAGAGGTAGAGAAATCAAATCTCCACTCCTTCACATCCCCTTCCCCATTCGCATATTTTTTCTCTGGTTTAAAAAATACATACAAATTGTAGGGATCGAATTTCCCCTCCTTCACGTCCCCTTTCCCATTCGCATCTTTTCTCCTCTGACTTATAATACGTACAAATTGTACTTTATTCTGGGAGTCTCACCCCACTTTGTGTGAGACAAAATACATATAATTGTAATGTTTAAAAAAAAAAAAAAGCATGTTTTGACCAAATAGAAAGCTGGAGGGACCAGGGCCCCATGAGGAAAACGTTGGTTGGCCCTTTTTTTTTTTTTTGAGAGATTGGTTGGCCCTTTTTTTTTGTTTTTTTTTTGTTTTTTGTTTTTTTTTGAGAGATTGGTTGGCCCTGTTGGGGCTCGATGAGTTGTGGTGAAATTGTCCATAAAGGGAAAAGGAAAAGCGGCAACGTGGCGATCGGGTAAGGGATATTGGAGAATTGAGAGGCTTGCGGTTTTAGTGGTAGAAAGTCTCAAAAAAGAATTACTACACCCTTTGGTTGTCACATGTTTTTCTCCATGCTTTGGGACTTGGGAGGTTGTCTCATTTTATGCCTTTGGAACCCGTTGACAACCCTCCTAATTCCTTTTATTCTAGTCAACAAAAAAAAAAAAAAAACATGAATTGGAGATTTTCAATATTCATTTGGGCATGTCACGTACGTTATACTTGCAATGTACTATATAATATGTGCTATAAAATCGTTCCTTGAAATTTAAACATGCTCTCAGTATTCCATATATTTAACGATTCACTTGCCTCTCGTTTTCTAATATGAAACAAGTTCCACCCATTTTTACCCCTCTCGAATCAAAAGGAAAAGTATGGTTATTCAATTCTTCTCTTTAAGTCGGCTAATCTCCCACAATATGAATATGATTGAGAAAAATCTCATGACTTAATTAACACAAATAATTCAGCGAGAGATTTCAACCATCGGGGTTAAAAGATGCTCGCCACCTATTATTGCATCGCGGTCGCATATTCCCATTTCATAAGCTAACCATTTTTCTGAACTACTTCATCGACCTTTTTCTCGTACGGATAATAATCATAAAATTTTGCACGTCCCTATCCCAAGTTTACGGAAAAAGTCAAGACGGACGCACATTGGAAAATGGTAATGCATGGAGGACATGAGTTATAGTGCTGCTGCGTACAAATAAACTTACAATTTTAACGTTTGGGCTGACAAACCAAACAACTTTTTCTCCCATATCCCACTTATGTACGTACATCAAACTATAACCATAAGAATACTACACAACATGCATGCAGATGCCAAATTGCCAATAGCTTGTCCATTATTTGATCTTCCAAAATTGTGAAATTTTATCCCAATGGTTTTGGATCATCTATATCGACACGTTGGTTTTTGCAGAACTTGAGATAAAGATCCCACCCTTCAATGGATGAAATTTCGCCGGCGTGCGCCGTCCCCCGCCAAGAAGACAAGCTGCTTTTTAGGGTTTTTTTTAAAGTACTTGTAACGAGAATGTTGGAACTTTGTAGCAAGCTAGTATAAATGCATGAATGTGAAGCTGTTCCTTTGGTTTTCTGTTTTCTTTCTTTTTTTTAAAAAAAAAAAATTAACGATTAATTGGAACCATCTTACAATGCTACCCAAAAATGCTTTCATTTAATTTTGAGTTAATTAACAAAATGCTCAATAACGTTCCCCCCCCCCAAAAAAAAAAAATCACTAGTATTTGCAGTCATTAGTCAGTTAAATTACAGTTTATCCATCAAATATTAATATTCATCGCGTCAAACTAACACACCTAAAAATTAAATTTAATTAAAAGATTTGTGAATTAGGATATTAAATTTTTATTGAGCTGCTGAATGATTAAGACCTGTGATGGAGAAATGCACATTTAACAATCAAAATTTTAGTACTGAAAATTTAACAATCAAAAGAGTGAGTAATTTGACTTTGGTATACGAACTCAGACGTCCCTGAAAACAGGACAAGCTTGTCATGTTGCACGGTACATGATTTGCCAATTGGCCGGACTTTATACATATTTCAATTACACAATTCCATAACCAGCAACAAAACCGTGGGCGGAATAGGAAAATGCAGTAGTACATTATTACTACACGACGGTTTTGACGGCCTAAACTCAATCACGGTCCGGCGCCGGACTTTCCGGTTGCCGGTTTTCTCTGTCTCATTTCGTTTGTTTTTTGAATACGGGAAAGCTGGAAAATCCAGTTTGCATGCAGATAGATGAGGATCACGTTCGCGTATTCAGATATTTCGTAATTTTCCAACTAAGATATTTTTGGTCGGACTTGGGGATTTCGGAGTGTCCAAGAGGCAAGAGGCACAGAATTTGCCTCAACCTCAACACAAATTTTGGTCGTAAAATGAGTTGTCTGATCATAATCAAAGTTACTACTACGTACACACAAAGATGTTGGATCATATACTATAGTACTTCGTAGGATGAGCTTCATTGTAGATATTTGAAGATATTTTTAAGTTTGCACTTGGGATATTTTGGCCGGAGAGGAAAAAGGCAGCAGATGCCTGCCAATGCATATCTAATACTCCCTCCCATCTTTATTATAAGGTATTTTGATTTGTACTAAGTTTTACTTATGACGTCTTTTCAATTGAAATAAAAACTTTAAAAATATTTTCTAATAATTAGGAGAACTTAAAAAATACAAAAATATATGTTTAAAGGTTTTTTTTCAATTAAAAAGATATTTTAGGTGAAATTTAAGACAAAATAAAATGTGGACCAGAGAGAGTAGTATCTATCTATTAAGATTAGTACGACTATACGAGTATGTCAAAGGTTACTTCTTTCTTCTTCGTTTTTCATTGTGAACTTTTCCAAATTAGGAGGGGTTGCTCAAGTAACTTCCAGAAATAGCATCACATTAATGGCTGTGGTGGGTGATTTGGTTTGTTCAATCTTACAAAATAAAAGAAAAAGAAAAGATGAGCGATTAATTCACCCAACCTTGTGCCGGGTGACAACATGTGCTGAAGCCAATTCTCACTGTAAAAGCCCAAATAATTTACACTCTATAGACACGACCAGCAGGCCCAAACACAACCCATAAAATGATGGAGGCGTAAATAGTGATGTTGTACAATCTTACCTGCCTGGAGCTACGAGAACATGCTGGTGGACATTTTTTTAAGTAGAGAAGATACACTAATTTAACATTTTTCACACTTTCTTCGAAATGACTGTAAATGGTTAGTATATTTTTTTTGAAAGTGTCGTCACCAGAAGATACTTGAGCGGTTTAATTTGATAACCCACTTGGACAAAGTCAATCTGAATTGAATTCTGTGCGTTTGTCATGAAATGAAAAGACTAATACTATTAATTAATAGTGTGAGGGTTTAATTTGCAATTATTTAATAATTTGGAGGTTACCGACGGCATAGAAGGCGTTTGTCTCCGTCCAGTAACAAAAGTTAAGAAAAATGAACGAATTTCATTCCCGATTTCCTCTCTCTAGTCGATCTATCAATGCAATTCTCATATTTCATTCTTGACAGCGTTTTGGATCAATTAGTGGACAAATTTCTTGAGAGTAAATGTCAAGATCAATTTTAAACTTGAAAAACAAGTAAAAGACATTTGTCCTATATTGAAAATGGGAACTCAACTTGATCGACATATATGCCTATACATAATAAGTATCGAACGATGCATGATACGTTTCACAAGATACATGATACGATTTTTAAAACAAAGGCAAAAAATAATTTTTTTACTTAAAAAGAATTCAAATTGTTATTTCATAATAATCATTTAAATTTTAAATTAAGAGCGAATTTCATTTACAATTTGTATTAAATAGATACTTTTGATTTATTTCTTTCACAAACATAAT